GGGGTTGGAACTAGATGATCTTTAAGGTCCCTTCCAACCCAAACCATTCTATGATTCTATGAGACATGTTTGCTTTACCTAATCTGGCTAATGAATCATTTCTAGAAATAAAGACTCTTCCCAGGCTGTCTCTTGGACAGCCATCTCTCCCAGTGTGCCTGCTTGTCACAGAGAGAGAAGTCCCAAGGACCACTGAACAAGCAGGAGTTTCCAGTGCCATGTTCTGGTTCTTACCCAGCACCACATCCCTGTTCTCATCAACTGTTCTTGTTCCTCTCTACCTCTGCAGCTTGCGAGGTGCCTGCAGAGCTCTGTTAGTATGACTAATGATGTAGTATGACTAATGATGGATGGCCGAAAGCCCTATCTATTGGGTGCAAAAGGTGAGAGTAGAGAAGGATGGAATATTGCTCCCAGTTGTTTTTTTACACCATGGAAATACTTCACAATAGGAGACTGGATAAAACATAAGCACTGTTCCTTGTCATCTCCTTGACCAGAACAGAGCCTCCTGGACATGGTGAGCAACAAAGGTTTGTTTTCCCCCCTACTCTGCTCTTGCAATTTCAACCCAGAGACTCTGCAATCAATTTTGCACCAGAAATAACGCAGACACTTTCAGTTTCTCAGAAAGCACTCTGCCGGTTGGTGGTTAGAGGCACTTGTTGTGGCTTCATTCTTTCTCACACTCACAGCAAACTGCTGGGCATGAACCTTCAGCAAGGCGAGCTATGCTACAGAGACTGCCAGGGTCAGATGAAAACCCTGCAGAAATATTCTGCCACTTCATGCCTGCTGTGATACCTTGCTCAACCTGCAAATGTCAATCTGGAGAGGCCCAGGTCACGGTTAGGATGTGTGTCATATCTGCTTGACCTGCATAGGTGTCTAAATTCACATGTCATGATATTACAACAGAGAATCATAGAAAGGTTTGGGTTGGAAGGGACCTTAAAGATCATGAAGTCCCACTGCCTTGCCATGGGCAGGGACACCTTCCACTGGACCAGGTTGCTCCAAACCTCATCCAGCCTGGCCTTGGA